ACGAGTCTCCCCGGGCTGCGGGTTGGCGGCCGTCCGCGGCGCTTCCCTCCAGCCCCAGGATCTGTCTCTGCACCAGCTTGGAATAAAGGCCTCCTTCTTCCATCAGCTCCTTGTGCGAGCCCTGCTGCACCACGCGGCCCTTGTCCAGCACAATGATGTTGTGTGCCTTCTCCACAGTGCTCAGCCTGTGAGCTATGACAAGCACCGTGTGGCTCTGCAAGTCGCCGTAAATCGCCTGCTGAATCTGCGTGGGAGGAGAAGGGGTTAGCACCCGAGCGTCACCGGCTCCGCGTGCCGAGAGAGCAGCAGCTCTGTGGTCTGTCTTAAGAAACCTCTGGACAGGAGGTTTGCTCGCCTCTGGCTACGCGGAGGACACAAGGCTCCCTGCAGCACTGCCAGCACCAGCACGCCCGTCCCAGCTCCTGGCTCTCACCATGAAGCCCAGGAGACCGTCTCCAGCCAGCCAGCCCGCAGGCGTGGTGCCCACACAGGTCTGATCCTGCAAGCTGGCTTCTTGTTAAAGCTGAGCCCCAGATTTGGAGGTCATGTGGTGTTGGCATGGACTGCTGGAAGCTAGTACGTGGTGAATGTGTTATGGGCTGCCCAGAGAAGTGGTGGCTAGGCTGGATGGAGCTTTGAGCAACCTGGTCTAATGGAATGCATCTCTGCTCACTGCAGAGGGAACTATCTGATCCTTAAGGGCCCTCCCAACCCAAAACATTTTATGATTCTATGAAATGCAGCTGCTCAGAAAAGTGGGGCTATTTCCTGCATGTATCAAGGCAAAGCAAGAAAGAGTTGTTCTGCAGATGAGAGACTGACACTGCAACTAAGGTCTAAAGGCAGGCAGATGGCTACCAGGTATATGTCACATTGAACCCCCTGGATAGCCAAAAACAGCCCCTGGCTGGCATCAGATACCACAAACATGGCTGAAGACCTGCAAGCCAACAAGCTGCTCCAAGAGCAGATGCTTGCAGTGCCCCACACCACAGACCAATAGTGCTCATCCTCCAGGACCAGGAGACACGTCTTCATACCTCAGCCTTGAACTAGCTTTCCCTTATGTCAGTAAACCAGTGAGACCCAGCTGCTACTGGTAGAGCCATTCAGTCGCTATCCCAGCCAGATAAAGCAGCTCAGTACACAGAAAGCTCAGGGCCTTTCCTGGAAGCGTGGCCTCTCTGGTGCCTCAGCTGGGATTTAGCTCAGGCAGTCGTACTGTCCCTGCTACAGTACCATTTTTTAGAGTCTTCCTCTGTATCCTGTCTTAAGAGGCTGCAGAGAGTCGCTGCATGTATGCCAGTTAACACCTTCCACATGTAAGAAATCACCAGAGATCCCTATCACATCAGGTTTCTCAGGTGTTGGCTGCTGTGAGCACAGGATGATTCCCTTCTTGGTGGTTACAGCCGTGTTGGAAGCAAATTCCTGCTCAGGAATTCACATCTTACCCAAACCCCTGATTGCACCACGTCAAGACTAAGCTTGCCCACAGGCTGGAAATCAAAGCTACAGTCTTGCCTCCAAACCCAGATTGCCTCTTCAGCCCACATGCCCACGTCACTTACTCACCGCATGTTCGCTCTCTGCGTCCAGAGCGCTCGTGGCTTCATCCAGGATTAGGATCGGGGGGGCTCGGATCAAGGCCCTGGCAATTGCCACTCTCTGCTTCTGGCCACCTGACAGCTGGGCTCCTTTCTCACCTGCCTCTGGTGGGTCAAGAGAGAGAGGAAGGCGTCAAAATAAAAATCAAGAGCTGCCATCAAGTTCAGCTCCCAGCTACAGCATCAGGACAGTGTCATGCTTTGAAGCAAAGACCAAGTAGATGCTTCTGCTCACTCGGCCATTTAAATGAGTTAAACATCCCTGAGGCTGGAGTCCTTCCCTCCAGCAGCAAGTTCTCCACTGTTGTCCCAGGGTTTGAGGGACTGATGCTCATGGAAACAACACAGAGAAGATCCTGAGCCTGGGAGAGCATCCAGACACTGAGCTCCCTGCCCATGAAGCTGCCATCTCTCCCTGCAAGTCAGGCTCTCAGGGTGTGCAGCCAAGGCAGCACTAAAGGAAACCAGGATCTCCCTGCTGGCTCCTATAAACACAAACCACCATCAGCCTGCCCTGCCTCCTCACCAAGTCCCACTGTCCCAAACACAGCAGCTTTCATGACTGTGGATTTATCACAGGTTTATCTTCCTGCTCTGCAGGCAGGGTGGTACCCAGCTAACCACTTGGGTTCTGGGCTTTTCTTCTGAGCATGGCACTGAAAAATGTTGTCTCTATAGCACCTCTGGGCACTGGGAGCCAGACTGGTCCAAATGGGATGGAGAATGCTCACCCTGCTGCCAGTCTGCTGGGACAGGCTCAGAGATCCTGCAGCAGCCCAGGGTGTGCTGCACTTCCCCACGTAGGTGCTTCCACCCCAGTGCCGAGCTGCTGTGTACTCGTGTTCATCACTACCTGCCTGACTTCCCACCCACGGGGAGAGTCTCTGCCTTCCCTAGGCAACGCTTTCAAGTGCAAAGGGAGGGATTTTGGTACCTGTGTGGTAGCCGTCTTGCAGCTCCGTGATGAAGGTGTGTGCGTTGGCCTTCTGGGCAGCCTGAACAACTGACTCGAAGGAGGCTGAGGTCAAGCCATAAGAAATATTATCTGCAATAGAGCGGGCGAACAGCACTGGCTCTTGGCTCACCAGGGAGATCTGTGGACAGGAAGGGAAGAGCAGGAGGTCAGGAGCAGAAGACACGCCGGCCAGCAACGCGAATCATTGGCATTTGTTCCTGTAGGGTAAGGACTCAAGTGGGCAGAGCCCCACCATTAAACCAAGATGCAGAATTGCCTCAGTGTGAGCTTCCAGCATGGCTGCTAACAGCGGGGTGCCCAGCAGCAGCCCCAGCCCAGTTTGCATCATCTAGCAGGCCCAAGCTTTTGCAGGAAAGAAACGTGATGCACTGCTGGTAGGTTGGCACCTGGGACAGGCTTCTTCCCTTCCAAGACCCTGCTGTGGTTTTGCTCCAGACTTGTCATTCCCATCACTGTTTGCTCTTCCCAAAATGGGAAACCAGTTGCTGAGACAAGGCAGGTTAGAGAGACCCTCTCCCAGGCTCTGGCTCATTTTCTGTTCAAGGCCAGTAATCACGCTTGGACCATGTGAGTGAGCCCTCCTCCATCTTTTAATCCAAAATTAGCAAGATAGGGACATAGCTGCTTCAATTCCTTAATTGCTTAGCAACAGCCTCCCTGTCCTACCTTACAGCCATTGCTGCTCACTCTCACATTCAGCTTGCTTTGCCAAACCCTCAATATCTGAAATCAATCGAACCCTCCGAATTATCGCTCAGAACTGGGCACAAACAGAGCTGGTGGGACCAGGACATATTTTAATTGACTTCTCCCCATGCTCCTAGCACCACACCAGGCTTTCTAAACTGAAAGACTAGCTTGTCTTTTAATTTTCACTCAGTACGGGCTGGGAATGTAAATTAGTCACACTGACTTTGGCTTTACAGCCTGTCTCTGATCAATTCTGCTGACTGGTGAGGCCATTTGCTCTGGGGGTAAACAAAGAAGGCAGTTACTTGCAGAGGAGATGAAGGCTGATCTGTGCTGGCACACAGATGAGAGCCAAGGGGCCCAAGCCCCTCTCCTAGGCGAACCAACCAGCCCCTCTGGTGCTCCAGCTGGTGCCAGGATCCTGAGAGGTTTAACTCCCCATTAGCTGAGAATTACTTTTAAGATCTTAAGGTAGAAAGTGCTGGAGGAATGTGAGAGTCGTTACCCGAATCCAATTTAGATGATAATTAATCCAACAACCAAAAACATTTCTACTGCATTGGCCAAAAATTACAAAATAAATCATGGTTTTTGTTCTGTTTTTGGAAGGCTTCCCCCTCTCCATGAAACCACTCTCCATCCCTTTCTCTTCCGTCCCCAACAAATTATCTGAATTCATTTCCTGGACCACCTCCAGCTTTGTGGACATTTCAGAAGTTGCCAGATAAATCCAAAGCAACATGCAGCACCACCATCCATCCCCTCTGCTCACGGCGGGCGGTAGCTAGAGTACACGTATCAGCGCTCGTACCACTGAGTGCAGGTACTTGTGATCGTACATGTTAATGGGGTGCCCGTCCAGCAGCACCTGCCCGTCTTGCAGAGGGTAGAAGTTCTCCAGGATGTTGACACAGGAGCTCTTCCCACTCCCTGAAGGACCCACCAGCGCCGTCACTTTGCCGGGGTGCAGGGTGAAGGACACGTTCTGCAACATGGATGGGAGAGGATGCTCAGGTCCTGGCTTTGCCCAGGGTCCTGGGGCTGCAGCTCAGGCACTATGCAAGAAAAGCAGCCAAAGTCTGGCCTTGGTTCCCCCCAGCTTGGTGACAGGCCACATCAGCCATTTCTCCTGGCTCGGAGGAAGCAAGAAGCCTCCAGAATGGCTTCAAATTTGCCTGATGATGTAGCAGGACCTCTAAAAACCACAAAGCAGACCAACCTCTTTGCAGCCTCCTGCTGCCCCGTGACCCCAGCCCCTCTCCCACGGAAACGGGCCGAGGCAGCTTGGCACAGAGCCCCGTACCACGCTGACGTATTTAATGCCTGAGTGGTGAACAAGGGGTTTATTAATAAACCTCATTCCTTGTAAGGAAGGCTGGCCCTAAACACTTGCTGTTCTTCATAATCTGTCTTCCAGCGTGCCCTCGAGCCTGTCTTTACGCATCTCCAGAAGGGCAGCTGACCCCTCCCGTGGGCTGGTGACGGGCTCTTGCCCGATGGAGAAGCGACCCGTGGTGCCTCGTGGTGGGGAGCTCGGCGTGCCCGGGGGGCTCACCTGGAGGACCTGAGTTGCAGAGCGGGTGCGGTAGGAAAAGGTCACGTTCCTGAACTCCACCTTCCCATCCAGGTGGTCTGGGGCCAGGGACCCCTCGTTCACCATCGTGGGCTCGCGGTCGATGAACTCAAACACCTTCTCGGCAGCTCCCACGCCCTGCATCAGGCCGCTGTACACAGACCCCACGGACTGGAAGGGAAGAGGCAGGGGTGAGACCCTCCCGTGTCACTCCTAAGGAGAACGGTTGAAGCACTCCCAAATCTTTTATCATCTGATATTCACTACAGTCATCATACACTGGAAAAGCAAGTTCTCCCCCTCTGCAGGGTACGGAGGGTATACATGGACACATCCAGGAAAGGGCATCTAAGAGGGTTTGTGCAGAGGTAGACTCAGAGAGGAACCAGAAGGAAACACATGGATTGAGAAGACAATACACCAGGAGGTACATGACACAAACTTCCAACAAAATCCTTCACTCATCTCTCTCTGCTCAAGACCAGCAGCTCCCCAACAGAACAGAGTCCCCACACGGCAGCACTGCACCAGTCCCTGAGGGCAGCCAGCTCACAGCCCAGCACACGTGCCTCAAATGCAGAGCAGCTCCAGGCTGGACCCTTCTAAACAACTGTTTAGCAGCTGATAAGGCTGTTCCCTGATGGAACGTGGTCCTAGTGGATTCATCACTGTGCTCTCCCAATTAGACCTGCTGCATGCTGACACCAGCTTCCCTGGAATAAACCCCCATCACATCAGCTCTTTCCAATATTAATTCCAGAGCTGCAAGACAGCTTGTAGTGCAGCTGCCCCTCTCATCAAGAGGGAAGAAAAAAAACTAAACCAAACCAAACCTACACCAAAACCACAGGCTGGAAAGACCACCAGAGCCTGCAGTCACCCAAACAGATGGTGAGATGCCTCCAGCTCTGCTCTGCCACCACTCCGTAAAGGCTGAAGAACTGCTGAAACCACACTTGGCTGTGGGGAAATCTCAACTTCATTTTTTTTCTGCCTTGATTAGCCAAGATTACATCTTTGCAAGGAGAAAGCAGCCCTGGGTGGGCTCTACCATCCCACCCACAATCCCATGTTGCTAACGTGCTGCCAACGCAACAGCTTGCAGCCTATTCCGGGGAAAGGGAAAAAAAAAGTAATATAATTAAGTTTTTAATGAAGCCTGAAATTTAACAGGCAGCTCTGTAATCCCTGCATCCTTCATGCCAGGAAATGTGCTTGGGAGGCAGCCAGGATGCTGCTCTTCAGCGGGGCCAGCCTGACCCCTTTGGTCCCAATTGCTTTATTGGGGGATGAGCTGCTTTGTGTGCATTCAGGTTGAGAGGCCACAGCAGGAGGGGAGTGGGGAGCAGAGGAGAACCAGCCCACCAGAGGGCAGAGCCACAGGGCTGAGGTAATGTGTTGTGGGAAAGGCAACACTGGCTCTAGCCCTGGATCTTCTAGAAGATAAACAGCATCTTGATACGGGGTGGCCCAGAAGGGTAAACCAGACTCACCTCCATGCAGTCTCCTAAGACGAACTCATAAATGATGAAGGATATCAGGTTTCCACTTGTCATTTGCCCTGAGATCACGAGGTGTCCACCATAGTAAAGGATGCTGACTTGGACCACCAGGAGGGTCAGCTGAAAGCAAGAAAACCCCCCAAAATCAGCATGGACGACTGATATTTTGGTGTATCTGTAATTACTCACACAACAGCCCACAATTCATGTGCTGGCATTTGTTCTCTGAGCCCCAAGCTGAGCATCCCTGACAGTGTGCAGCTGACAGCCCTAGCAGTGGGCATGGATATGAGAAGGGAAAAAACAGCCCAAGAATATGGGTGGCCTAAGGAGCTGGGTGGGCAGCTTTCACCAATAAACAAAGGTCCAGAGGGGCAACAGCCAAGGAGGGAGAATTTATCTGAAATAACAGAGCATCTCGTGAACTTCTCCCTAGGACCAACGTCCTCAAGCATAATGATCTACACTCAAATTATCCAACACTTGCAGTCACCTCACCACTAAAACAAGCTTTCTGTTACATGAGTGTGACACATTTTAACTTAGAATGCAGAATTGAGCCAAGAGTGAGTGCAAAAAATCCTCCTTGCGTGTACAAGTGCCTGAAGCATAACCTCAACTCTTGCCTGAAATCAGTAGGGGAGAAACCACCTGCTCTACAAAGGAGACACATCAGCTCTGGTATGACACAAACCAGCCCCTGCCTTCATTCAGCTGCTTTTGTTCCACACTGCCTGGGTACTCAGAAAAGCAGCACTGCCCTGGTGCTCTGTGACGTTTCCAGGACAGGCTCTAAATTCACACCAACAAAAGTACTGGGGGGAAAAAAATCCTCCTCTATTGCTCTGCCACAACCTGACCTTAAGATCCTGCGTTTGCTCCAAGAAAGACTGTAGCAGGGTTGTGCTAAATCCATCAGTTTCTTCTATGTGAGCCCTGCAGGGGAAGTTTTTGAGGCTTTTTGCTTTCTTTGACTTGGTGGGATGTATGCTGACTCCCAGCTTCACCTGGGAGCCCAGGAACAATGCCAAAAATGCTCTGATTTTGCTTCCAGACTTGGGAAGCTATCAACTCTCCCACAGCTGCACAAGGCCACTGTAACTCACAAACCTTTCACCAGAAGCTACTTAGATCCTTGACTATGCAGAGATAAGGGCAGCCCCATGTGAGGCTTTGGCACAGCTTTAGTTATCAGCCGATGCAGAAGTCCCAAACCATCTGGTCTGAAATGATGAAAAAGCATTTGGGGGAAAGAAAAAAAAAAAAAAAAAAACCCAATGAAAAAACCTAAACCTCAAAGCCAGCAGCCTCCCCCTGCCACCACCCACAGGCAGCAAATCTCCACTCCTGAGCAGCAGCTCAGGCGACGGCGGGGCCCTGGCACTGAGCTGGCACCGGCACGCAATGCAGCAGCGCAGCACGGGGCTCTCCACGACCTTCAGCACTCATCAGTTCTGCTCCTGTTTGCAAGAGAAAACAGACCACTCGGTGGCACAACACAGCGCTGCCCTAAGGGGGCATGGAATATATTTTGTGATGAGTGGAAAATTAAAACAGAAAAGATATCAAGAGACAGAGGATTGCTGGCAGCAGGCAGCAAAGCTGGGCGCTCCCTGGAAGCAAGGGAGCGAGCACATCGTGCCACATGCCTTTGGAGAGCTGAAGGACACCCCCAGCCCCACAGGGGGAAGCCCCAGCGCCGGCCACCTACCCCGCTGGACCAGACATAGTAGGTGTAAGCCAAGGCCTCCCTCTTGTTGAGCTTGTAAACCTGCTGCAGCTTCTGCCAGTACACGTTGGCCTCCGCCTCCTCGTTGGCGAAGCTGCGGACGGTCCTCATGGCGGAGATGGTCTCCTCGGCGGTGTTGTTGGCCTTGGCCAGGGCGTTCTGCACGTCCTTGGAGAGCTTCTGCAGGGAGCCAGGGGAGGCAGAGGGGGCTCAGCGGGCGCCAGGCTGCCCGTGGCACATCTCCCTGCACACCCCGGGCTCTGCCGGGCTCGGGAAAAGAAGGCACGGTGACATTTTCCGAGGCCATGGGCAAGGAGGCTGAGGGCTGGGATATATCCCACCCCTTGGGATGGCCTGGGATGCTGTGCCAGGAGAATGGATGCACTGTGCTGTCCCTGAGGGGCAATCTGGGCTGCAGGAGGTGAAGTGCCATGTCCAGGGTCACTTGGGAAGCCTGTGGCAGAGCTCCTGGTGTCCTGATGGGACAGGGTCAGCCTGGCCCAGGAACCCTTCCAGGAGATTCCAAGTCAGGGAACAGATCAAGGGCAGCTCCACTCCACTCAAGAGTGCCTGACCCAGAGCAGGAGCTGTGGCTGGGCAAGGCAGCAGCCAAGGATCCTGTTTTGGAAGCACCTGCACACGCTGTGTCCCTGGAACAGTGTAAACCCCAATAACTGACGTGAGGAGCAGCACTGCAGGACACGCAAGGTCCATGGGATGTGGCTCATCCACGGGGGACAGCCCTTGGCTCACACTAGCCCTAGGCAGAGGGAGAGAGCTCAGCACTGGGTTTAACCCCCACCGAGTCACTCCAAAGGGACAGGAGAGGGGAGGAAAGGGCTGGGAGGAGATTGCACAAGGGAGGAGACTGCACGAGGCGAGGCAGGTGCATATGGGACATCCCACAGCCAAGCTCCCTCTCCTGGCAGACCCGAGATGCTTCCACTCCTGAGCACAAAGCAAGGTAAGAGCCAAGGCTACACCTGGCTGCCCATACAGGCTTGATGCCACCTTCCTGCCCCCGCTGCTGGCAGCAAAGCCTTTGAGCACCAGTCCCAACAGCTCCAAGGCCACCCACAATCTCCACGATGTCTTCAGGAAGGGAACAGCCCAGCATGGCAGTGTGCCACGGCCATGCCAGCTGCTCCTGCCTACCTTGTAGTACTTCCCATAGACATCGGACACCAGCATGATGATGGGGAAGCCCATGAAGGTGACGAGCGAGAGCTTCCAGGAGAGGCTGAACATGAAGAAGATGACCCCCGTGGCTTTCACCACGTTGCGCAGGAAGATGTTGATGTTCTGGGAGACCAGGTCGCTCACGATGGTCGTGTCTGACGTCAGGCGCGAGATGACGTCCCCTGCAGCGACGAGGGGTGGGGAAGGGGAGAGTGGGGACGTGTCACCACAGCAGGGCACTGCCTAGCCGTGTCCCACGGCCCGTGCCAGGGCCAGAAGGAGCTCCCCATTCAACCCAGCCCTCACTTGGGGAGTCTGAAGGGTGGCATGGAAGGGAGGCGACTCCACTGCTGTGGATGTGAAGCAAAACGGAGGAGCTTGAACTGCTGCATGCATGAGGGATGTGAAATGCAGCTCAAGGCACAAGCTGTGTCCCTGGGTCACCAAGGATGGCTGCAGGACAGCAAAGGGGACAGCAGCAGCACACAGACAGGCAGAAGGTACGTGGGTGGAGTGTTTGCTGGGCTGTTGAACATGTGTCCAGAGCTGTCAGCTCAACCCCAAGTTCATTTCTAAGTGGTGTCAGGAGCCCTCCAGGAGCTCACTGGGAGTGCTGGCATCTCTCCCCACCACCCCACCAGCAGGAGCAGCTGGGGCCGGGCACAGCACACCCTGTGGAGAGTGAGGTGGCCTCAGAGAGGGCTGTTTGGGTTTAGCCAAAGTGCCTTTGGTGGAGCTGAACGTTACAGCCAGCAGAAATCTCCTTGAATTCCTGCATCCTTGACTCATGTTTGAGCCCAGCTGAATTCCTGTGCTTTTGGGCAAGTCCAGGGTTACCCACATCCCACTTACAATAACATCTCTGGTGTCCTCAGCTATCAGAGCACCATGCAGCGATCGCTAAATATGGCAACAGCCTCAAAACTAAAAATAGTGCCAAGAGGAAATTAACTGTGCAAATGTTACAGTGGGCTGGGACCACACCAGAGTGGCACAGTCCAGGACAGGACTGAACTGCAGGCAGGGAAAGCGACAAGCACACCCAGCAAGCTCCACACATCTGAGGATTCTGCTGCCCAGAGCAGAGCTGGAGAGCTGCTGACCAGCAGGCACTGATGGGAGGAGGAAAGTAGGTGTTTTGGGGATGACTGGAGATATCCACGTCAGTCCTGGGATCCAGGCTGATGGGTGGCAATGGGACATCTCCAGGGTGCTGGGCAATCTTGACCCAATCCCACAGTGGAAGCAACCAAAAGGGAAGAGTTTTCTGCCACTGCTTCTAAACACGAACACTTGGAGCTCTCTCTGGCTGCCCCAAATCTGCTGTGTGTTCGTAGAGCAAGCCAAGGGGAAAAAAGCACCGGGACGGGGTAGAGGGGTTAGGCCAAATCCAGGGGAAAGAGGAACCAACCTGTGCGATTCTCATCAAAGAAACTCATCTCCTGAGACACCAGGGACCTGAAGAGGCAGTTGCGAAGGCGAATGTTCAGCCTGGCGAAGATGAGCGTAAAAACGCCGCCCCGGATACCTGCGGCAAATGAGCTAATTGCAGATGAGAGACGTTATAGACCAGTGGACACGAGACCCTCTGCTCAGCAACACAACCACCCCGACGCCCGGGCCCAGGGCTTGGGCAAGGCTGCGCTGGGGCCACCTTCCAGCCCGCACCTCTGCCGGCTGCCACCGGCGGAGACAGCTGGGCCCAGCCCCGCTACTGGGAAGCACTGGGAGGGGACGCAGCGCTGCTGGGACAGCATTCCCTGCGGAGCCTGTTCCCTGTGTCCGCTCCTGCTCCCCTGTCACGAGCAGATGGACGCGGGGGGCTAGGTGACAGCCTCGTGACAGCCACCACGGCTGCCCTGCACCATCGCGGTGCGGAGGAATCAAAGCGCATCACAAGGTAATACCCCCGAGGTGAGACAGACCATGCCCACCGCCACTGCAGGCTCCTGCAGGAAACCCCCAAACTCCTCCTCCTCCTCAGGGCCCAACCCCAGCCCCTGCGATTACCTTCCTATGGCGAGCAGCGACATGACCAGCACCGCCGTGGAGAAGCGGTCCATGCTCTTCTGCACCACGATGCCGTCGATGGCCAGCCCTGTGTAGTAGGGCAGGAAGGTCTCTCCTGCCAGACAAGCACAGGACAGGGGGTTTCAGCCCCACAGAGTAGGATTGGCACAAGACCTGTGTTTCCAACAGCAACGGCCCATGGACAACCCCATCCCCACCACAGAGATTCGTGGCCATCACACAAGATGTCTCAGGAGGCGCATCCCCTAGAGGCACACGAGGATGTTTAATTTCCCAGTGTATTTTATCCCCTATTGCATTTTTTTTGGCCCTGTTGCATTTTTACCCAGCCCATGCAGGATGCACCACCCAAAAAGCAATTCTAGGTTGCTGTCAAGTTCCCCACACCC